GTGCCTGGCGGTACCAGCAAGCAGTAAGCAATACCCTAATCAAGGAACTACCAAAGGAAAAAATAAAACAAAACAAAACCCCCACCTCCACCAACACTGCCAAGGCAGGCCACAGTATATAAACAGAGAGCAAACCCCATCCCATTGCAGCACTGAAGATGTTACCTAGCCGGGTAATGAGACGTTTGCAAGAAAAGAACCAAGCTCAGAGAACCCCAAAGACTCCACAAAAGTGTCAAGACCCATGGGCCTGACTCAAGCATATTGAGAACTGGAGTGTAGAGGTGAAACCCTCTCAGCCTTGAGGACAGTTTATTGAGTGTAGGGGAATAGCGTATGGAGGACCCTGTGCATTTTTATGCTTAATTAACATTTATTTTAATTTTTAAACATTAATATTGCAGTAGTTCATCATTGTTCTACTAAAAGAAGTCTCAGTACGGCACCCTCATTCCTAGTTGGCTGGGAGATGATGGGTTAACCACATTAGATGCTACTAACCAACATTTCTGAGGAATAGCAGATTGGGGAGGGCTCTCACTGACAGTTCAAAATAGCCCATCTCTCTGTCAGGCTGGAGTTCCTTTGCAAGCAAGCCAGACCTGCCATTCAGTGCCCTCTAGTGCATAGTGGGGGCAGCTCTCACCATGGAACTGAGCTGTTGGCTGCAACCAGAGTTTGGGGCTCATGGCATGACCAGAGGATTGAGGTTGTGCAAACACTGAGCAAAATTTGGAGGCACAATTTGGGGAGGGGGAACAAACAACATAACAGTACAGTTGCCAAGAATCCCCAGCACATTATAGCAAATTGTGGGAAATGTTTTAAGATGCACCCTCAGTTTAGTATGGGAGGCAGCCGGACCCACTTGTCACACTGTGACAGGAGTAAGTAACATGCTGGATGAAAATGCCTCCAACCTGTCTAGAAAAAAATTAAACTAGGTGATCCAGAGTGGTAGAGAGCATTCTGCGGATGGCTTAGAAGTGATACAGAGTGCAATTTTAACAATCTGCTTTCCAGTAAATGGGAGTTTTGTTATTGGCCATATCCTCTGGCCACTCTTTTTGTTAGAATACCCACAACACTATATCAGAAATGCCAATGTACCCAAAAGTCCAAAATATCCTAAACACTATAGATTGATTGATCGACTGATTTCTCTATCAGTTTTTCATAGGTTCTTTGATACACTTATTTTTTCCTATTTCTGTAGCAATATGCAATTTGAAACAAAGCAGGAAAAGTAGGCAGAACATAACATCTGGAATTCTTTCCTGCCCCTCAATCACAGCTTGGCTGTGGGTCACAGGACTGGGGGAGGAGAAAGGAAGGTTTAGAATGGGGAAGTGGGCAACGCTATTGGCAACAGCCCAACTGCCTCCCCAACAGGGATGGGGGAGTTAAAAAAAAGTTTTCTCCACAGCCCACATCCAAAGCAATAGCTTTATTTTGTCAGCTTCTCTCCCCACACCAGATTTGGTCCCATTCTATTCAATTGTTGGAGAGTTAATATGCTGTTGGTTAGTCAGGGCCATGAGCCCTTTGGGGCAACTATTTTCAACATTCTGTTGGGTTAGAAAGAATAAAAAGGATCCAAAATTCTTTCTTCTTCTTCCTCTTCTTTTTTTTTTCCATACAAGAACCCTTTTTGCATGCATTTTATTCTCAGGATGTTTCTACCTGAAGTGCACATTTTGGGACACATTCTAGGACAGTTTGAGGACCGAAAAGTACATTGCAACATTCAAAAAGCTGCAGAAAACAAAAGGAATGTATAATTTGCATATTAGTCTGGGAGTGTGGATTGCTTGTCAGTGTGAACAAAACTCAGTCTTTAAACTAGCCTTTCCTAATCTGGCATTCTCCTGATGGTTTAGGC